GCTGCTTTACCACTCTTCAGCTTGGAGATCACCTCCCTAACTTCAGTTAGGGAGGTTGGGTCCTCACTAATAGGTGGGTCCCGCAGCGGAATCACGGCACTACCCACATCCAAGTTAACTGTTGGAGGGTCAACCTGATACAACTGCTCAAAGTACTCAGCCCAACGCTCTTTCTGTTATCTATTATGTTTTTTTCTCGTCATGGTAAATCGTCGCTTTTTTTAAGAGAATCAATCCTCATTTTTATCACTTGCGAGAGTGCATTTTCTTTGGCGTGTTTTTTCTGACTCGATCATGCTAGCATAAATCGCTTTTAATGCTTAAATCTTTTACTCACGTGGGGGAAATAGATCATGCATTTTCTCTAAATTATTATCTATTCCTACGGACATTCTAGGTCACGTGACTAGTCCTAAGCATCACCATAGTCTCGACATTTTTTTTATTCTCATTATCTCTCACTGCGTTAACCGACGCCATATCGACGTTCAATTCGTATATTATTACTAAGTGCATTTATTTCGGCTCGGTTTACAAATGCATTTGTGAGATTTTTGAACATTTAAATAATTTAGTTGAATCATGCACAAACAAACATTTCCCCCACGCTTCCTACCTACCCCCATCCCCCATCATCCTAAACCCCTTCCCTTCCTCCTAACTCCCACCCGTTACTCCCCCTCCCTCTCTACCTATTTTCAATATTTTTGTTTAGTACACTAGCATTTTATTTTTTTATTTTTTGTCATGATATTTATTTAAATTAAAATATAATACGCTAAATTTGGTAAATGTAATGTACATCTCGACTGCCCTAGTCTTCATAACTATATGTCTTCCTGATCTTTTATGTCCTTGTGATTCTTAAGTTTATTATCCGATATTAAGCTTCGAACGTTTTATATTTTCTTTCTTTTCATATCTATATTTATACAAGAAAAGTGTGCCTTGCTCATTTCTATGTTTATATGAATATCAACTTCAGTATTTTTATGTATAAGGTGTTATATTCGTTTTATAGTGCGAATGACTGTTCAGGTGAAATCAGGTCAGGTCCTATCACGATGACGTTACCTCACTCTTTAATGACCTGTATTAGCCTCGTGTTTTTTTTTCTTTCCACATTTAAGCTTATTTATATGTGTATAATATTGTGATTTATCATTGTCCCGTTGTGGACGTATTTACGATAGAGTGATGTATTTACTTCCGGTTTGCATGAATATATTGGGAACTAATAATACTAGCATAATTCATCGAATTAAATCATATGATTTTAAGTTATTATTATAGTATATTTGTGCATATTCCGAAGTATCTTTCGCCGTAATTATTCGTCTTCTTTATAGATATATTTTTTCCTTAATTATTCATGGTCATTTATTGGTAATTTGATTATTTAATTTTCAGATTATTGTGTACTTGTTTTTTCACAATATTATTTAATTTTACATATACTAGCTCTTGCTATTTTTAACGAATGTCCGCATAACGACCTCATTTGACCTTACTCAGAAGGTACTTATAGCCATCTGACTCTGCTCGACCCAAAAATACATGCAAGCTATTTATATTTATATCTTATTCAATGATCTCCGTGTTAGAGATTAATTATATTATACAGCTACTACGATTTCATATTGTTCGTGACTTTTGATTATCTTAATCACGAACCTCACCTCCTCATTATTACATGGTCCTTGGTGACGACCCACAGCTGGGTATGGACATGCAATTAGGTTTAGGTAATTAATGTTAAGTTGTTCTTGTGCCAGGCCACATACCTATCGCCCAGGTGATCTCAGCGCCACGCGCCTTCTTATCGCTATACGTGAGATTATCGCTGGTATTCCCCAAGAAGATGGGTACCCAGTTGCGTTCTGCATATGAGCTGGATGATATGTCCCTTCTACGGTTGGGTCATCATGTCATCACTTTCCTCAGGGAATTTATTTTAAGTATCATTTACAACCACGAGGGTTGTCATTCGGCTGTCAGTTGTCTCAGGGAAGCTGACCCAAACCAGTCACCGTTTCATTCATTTTTACGTACTAATTAAAATACCATTTTCATGATTTCGCATAGCAGTTGATTAATATTGCAATTACCGTAAGTTCATTGTTATTAGTGTGAATGTTTTTTTTTTTACGTGCAATCAGATCGGTAATTAATTTTCATTGCGGGCAACCAACATTCCCACCCACATACATACCTGACTCTCCCCCCTATCCTTACCCATACCTCTTTTCTTTCCACCCACCCCCATCCTTCCCTTAGACTCTCGCCCACCCCCTACTCCTCCCCTTCGTTTATTTCTTCCAACTTCCACGCCATCCTATTCCTTTTTTTACTCACTCTCGTCTAATGACTCTAAAAACTAACTTATATCTATCAGCATTCTATTTTCTTCTCGTGTGCTATACTCTGACTTACTCGTTTCATAACTCTCACCCATTAAATTAATCAACTCGTCTACGCACTCACGCAGCCACATGCGCACATCGTCTCGCAGAAACCCGTCAATTGCACAAAAATTACATGCGTACTGTTTCCGGAAGATAACTGACTTGCGCCAACCGTGTATTCTTGCCTTGCATTACGTTTTATCGAACATATATTGTCCTGAGAAAGTAATGCGCAATGAATGTAATGAGTCGCTCCCGAAGTGTGACTGCATTACCCGTTTTCATTACAGCTTTTCCTCTAATTGCTGTTGGTGACGTGTGATAATCAACTTCAGTGAAATGAGAGAGAACAATTACTAATAGTCAGACGTATACCGTATGCACTATTGCACTGCACACTCCTGAACTCTGCATTGTTGCATCTTTATTTCTTTTTTCCAAGGAAGTTCGTCGTTCAAGACAAGTCCTTGCGGGCTGCGACCCATTTTGCTTCCATGTACTTCTGCACAATACTTATCTCTTGTAGATTTTCATCTCCTGCTATCTGAGGCAATTGCAACTCAAGCAAGTCCTCGCAGACTTGCAATTGTCTCCCCAAGCATGTCCCTCTGTCTATCCTTGGACAGTGCATTATTGAAAAAAAAATTATAAATTGAAAATTCATGAAAATATTTGTAATAACAATCATTGCAATCTGATATTTTGATTATATCTTACGGCCCTTGCTATCACGCAACCCCCACCCCCCCACAGTTTGCCCTCCTGTCTCTGCCTCCGGTGTACTTATTTCAGAGAACGCCAGCACTAGACCGTCGCGGCTCGCCTCTAAGGCTCCCATTTGCCCGAAACTTGCACTCCACGAGAGACAGCCCGCGCCACGCTACCTACCCCTCCTATGAATAAACAGCTGAACCAGAAGTGTCTCCATAATCCACCAAATCAGGGCAAAACAAATCCCTGACACGTCTACTATGCGAACCATAAAAGCGCGGGAAGCAACACTGCGACCTTTGCAGACCACAGTTCGCATGATTGGCATTTGTTTTTTTTATGGTTAATATCGAAAATAAAATGCCATCAGTTTTTTTTTTCTTTATATATTTATTTCTATATTACATCAAACTTGTGTTACACATTTCAGCCGATGAAAAGAAATAGTTCCCAATGCATAGCAATCCCATTTTCAACCTTCCAAAATGTTATTGTTCGTTTGGCGAGTAATGTATGCAATTTTATTAATACATATTCAAGTTGTGAGATACACAATACTTTATCACAGTGATGCATCAAAGGTCAAGCAGCACTATCTTACATACGCCGTTAGTGACTTTAGATGCTGAAGCGACATTACTTTTCCAATAAATAACTAAATAGAAGCTGGGACCAAGGTAAGTATAAAGTCATCACCTGGAAATCGATGTTACGCGTCATTTACAAATTTATCGAAATTTATTTGCAAACAAGCCTGTCATATTTCCGTAAGTTTACCCAAAAATATTCGTCGCTTTCGTTTTGTTCAGAAAATGGGTATGCGAACCAAAGGCAACGCTGTCCTATAGTTTGCATTCGTAGTGCACAAACATTGGGTCACCAAGTTCAATTTTCAAATTAACCAATGTATTGTATACACCAATCCACCGACACGGTCACCCTGAATTTTCAGGTTTCTCTGAAATTCAGAAACGATGAGTGATTTGGCAATACCATACATTCTGGAGAGATTATAGGGAAATTATCAAAACTAATAACATTGCCCTTTGTTACCATGTGCGCGAACGAATCGCTGAATGACGACCCTCTCCACAACACTAAAATGTCACCTCGCCAAGATACCGAACGAATGCTCCTACACAGCAACATCTGGAGTAAGATCAGCCAAAAAAAAAAAAACTTATTGGGCAGGTTCCGAGTGGTTTCTGGAACGTAGTCGTGCCGAAGAATTTGTGCGGGGCAAGTTTCCTCAAGGAGTCCATAGGAATAGGATTAAGTAACAAGTACTCAGCAATTAATGCTCAAGATGGTGGGAGGCTAGACGAGTGCTGCGTGTTGACAGCCAGGAGCATAGTGGTGGCGCTACCTTTCGGTAAAAGGAAAGGTATCATTTATACTATTTTTGCTTTGGGTTTCAAATACGGGTACACTTATTTTGCATTTTCTAGCATAGAGTTAATGATTACCGAGAATTTTTAATTAAAAAAAAAATAGTTATTTAATTTTCAGTATATGAAAATCTAAATTAGTACCAATTCCAGATAGGCGAAGGACGTCCATCTTTCTCAACTTTAGCAGTTTGTTGTAGAAGTTAGAAACTTTCCCATTTGTATCCCGCTTCCATGAAACCAAAAACTAGATTTAACACCTTATAATCATTCTAGTTTCCATATTAGATGGAGATGCTCTCCTTAATTGTGTAACAGTTTGTAGTTGACAAATTTCATGTTAATGGCTTAACAGTAAAGGTTTCGACACGAGTCATTCTACATACATTTCTAAATTACTCAATACACCAATTTTCTGGTGCGGATAATGAATCCAAGCCTATGGAATGAACATTCCAGACTTGTTGGCAAGAAAGGGATGTAATAAGAAAGCAGGTCATTTCATTTATTACTTTATTTTACCCACTTATGGTGACCCTCACTTCAGCCTTGTTCCAGGACAGCAGCATATTCCAGGTTCAAAATCCAGCAGTAATTTCTGCAAAGACAAGGCTATATTACTTATGAAAATAAAACCATTAACATTTTATATTCTGAAACCATGATCAGGCCTATCATTCGGAATCATACATGTTCATTAATAGCTCAAGTTTGTCATCATCAAGACATACAATTTTAAACTGTAGTGCAATTATTACTTACTTTAGCAGTCCCTTTAACCACAACTTTTCTTCAGTGTCAACATCAAGAGACAGGATATTTGGGGGGGTGGGGGGTGGGGGGTCACTAAAAAAGAAACAAGTATTCAGTAAATATTGCAAGATGTAAACCCGCAACTAAATAAAATGGTTCATTTAGTACTGACAAATTCTATTTAATCTTTATTTCCCAAAGTTGTAAAAGTTACATACCAAATTCAGTGCTCCATGGTAATGCTAGTCTGCATGCTGCAAAGAAAAGGATCTTTTAGTTATATGCATTGCAAAACACATGAAATGAAGACAAAATATTAAAAGTATTTCAGAAGGAAGGCAACATATTCAGAGAGAGAGAGGCAACACACATATATCAACACATTTGTCTTGAACATGTTAATCATCATGGTAATTTAAAAAACTACACAATTTTAGGTAACTGGGTAATCCAGGGCACAAAACTAGGCAGAAATGGTGCTGCCAAGTCTCTACTTTGTTTAGAAGCATCAGATTCTGCAACCCAATTACCTTTGTACTATTTACCTGTAACTCTGAAAAATTACCTTCATTGGTAGAAAGGGAGCGTGCCTCTCCAGAAATTACTTGCATCTGAAAGTTAAATCAAAACATTAGAACAAGCATAACTTTCTCACCAATAGATATTAGAGAGCAAGTCAGAAGGAAGGCAACATGTATATTTCAACATTCAAATTAGTATCTTCACGATTTTCATTCAGCGAAGTCACAAGACTGGCTTAATCAATTATCAGAACTAATTTACCTAGTGCATTATAAATCAATATCTATCGCTTAAGTAGAAGGCTGATCTAGCTTGAGTATTACTCGGGGTTTTTAGGCAGCATCCCATGATACTTGCTAAGATACAAAAAAGTAATCATACTTACGTCATTACTGTGCATTGATGCTAATATTTGCTAATTCATTTTATCTTGCATAAATTGACAGATGATTACCCCCCAAATTCAATGGTCCCTTAAGATATATTTCAGAGCCAGCAAGGCTCAGGACGACCGAATTGACAAGCCGTACACTCGCACCGAATAGACAAGGTTTAAAATCTATGTTCTCTGAATGCACGTCACTGGGTTCAACAGCAATGCACAAACACACCTACTTCTGACCTCCGCGCAGCCACTTCCACATCTGAGGCTTCACTAGCTAGCAGCAATGCTTTCCATGCATTTTGTTTTGCACACAATGGCCAAAGCTGTCTAAGTATACTTGGCCCCAAATTATACATTTTCAAAGTAGGAATGAACTAAAATGGTTGTCAGTAAACCGTATGGTTTAAAGTGGCTCATGAGGCCAACAAGGCGTGTAATAGATAAACTAGCCTAAGCACACCAAGTCCTGGTCAAGTCCTCCAAAGTCGCTTGTGGAATTGCCGGCGCGAGTATACACATCTGAATAATCAGGTTCACTAGCTATTCCAAAGTCCCATGCATTGCGAACATGCATCATCTTCTGTCCCGTATATTGCTTAATAAATTAGTAACAACCTAAACTTGTTTAAGTGGCTGTGCCCTTTGTTAAGATAAACTGCCTAAAACCAAGTCCTGGTCTCAAGTGCAAGCAAAGTTAATCTAAACATCTTCCCTCTGGGAGGCATATCTAGGTGCCCGTGATGGACTGCAATAATTAGCAACCTATTTTAGGATATTTATACAAGTTCACTCCCATCATCTATGATGATCCGATTAGTTCAAAGTGTAAGGCCTGCCACATGGTATGTAGGAAAGACTTGCATCCATGTCCAATTTAGCTTAATATCAATTGACATTCAAAAGTAAGAGGAACATTTGAATTAGACTTACCTTATCTTGTGCTCAAGACTTGTCTAAACAACCTCACTTCCATTTAGACTTCATGAACATTTTATCTGAAACCAAGAAGCAATTTGTTAAAACATTACAATAATAATGACATGCATTAACATTTTTAAAAAGTAGAATGCTCTGTAGTTTGTATGGTTTCACTTCCTTTCATAGCCACAAGGCTCAAGGACGTGTTGGAATATACAAGCCCCTGATCCTCACCCGGCCGAAGCCAGGGGACCTGGTTTCTCTATGATGCACGACAGGGCGCAACTGCATGCAGACAGCCTCCAAAGCCGCTTGTGGAATCGCCGGCGTGAGCCAGCTATCCACATGACATCAGGTTACTATCAATAAATTTTCTGGCCATACTAACCCATTTTTAGATCACTAAATAGGACTTAAAAAGGCTACCTCTTCAAATCTAACCTATTTAATTAGTTCCAAATCATGCCAAAGAAGCTTATATGCTTCTGTATTGCCTTCAATGCAAGACTAGAGCTTTACACAAACCAACGGGCGAATTTATCAGCTCAATGAGCTTAAGAATCTGATAAGGCTGAATTGCAAAAATAAGCTACTGAATAACAAAATGTCAAGGTCTTCCGTAACCATGCCAAGTACTATTAACCAGTGGACATCAGAAAAAAGTTTTACTCACCTATTCTTTTGCAACTTGTGCTATCCATGCCACTGTGCTTCCACACCAATTCCATCATGAAGTTCAGCATCTGAAGAATAAAACGAGACCAGTTTGAGATAAAGGTTGTCTTGCAAGACATTAAAACTGCTCCTTTTGATTTAGAAAGTAATGTGGCTTGTATGGTTTCACTTCCTTTCATAGCCACAAGGCTCAAGGATGTGTTGGAATATACAAGCCCCCGATCCTCACCCAGCCGAAGCCAGGGGACCTGGTTTCTCTATGATGCACGACAGGGCGCGACTGCATGCACACAGCCTCCAAAGTCGCTTGTGGAATCGCCAGCGTGAGCCAGCTATCCACATGACATCAGGATTTCCAGACTAAGCAAGAGTGCTTTCTTATGCATGGTATAAAATTGTAGTTTTAGAGTAAACTTACAAACTAAAATTAATAATTGGAAGTGAACAGTCATGCAGTGCATATAGCAACACCCTGGGTAACCACCCCTAACCCCCCCCATCCAGGAAGATATATAACAAATTTATGCCAGGATAGAGCAGGAGAAAATCTAGGGTACTCGAATGCATCCAGAGAAGCAGCATACTAACCTGTGACAGGCACCATTGTACACCAAGGTGAATGCAAGTTGTATGCTGCCCTGTATGCAGCAATAACTGTATGCATACGAATTATAAAAATTACCCCAAAGTTACACAAATTGACTATATCCGTTACCTGCCACGATGTACACGTCGTGCAAAATGTCTGAATACTCAGGGTATCAACACTAATCCAAACCTCTTCTACCCAATATTAATGCTGCATTTGGAATGCATCCTGCTCGTCCAGACGAGAGGATGAGCAGGTTCAAAACCCACTTATCTTGGGCAAGTCGTCCATCTTGCCCTAAGCAGCAGGGCGAGCAGGACGAGATGTAAACACCAGAGTTGCAGGCAACCTTAAGATATCAGTAGGTATTCTTTATCAAGATAATTAAAAAGATTTCAGTGTGTCAGTTGCAAGTTAAATATGCATCAAGGGAGTTACAAAACCTATGCAGTGTGTAAAAATAAGGAGGCCGACAAAAAAAAAAAAAAAAAAAAAAAAAAAAAAAAGTTTACTTTCGAGCTGGCTGCATTCTATGCAACAAGGGTCTTTGAAGTTCTGTACATGGCCTGGCTGTCCTGCTGGTCCTGACAAGTGGTCTGGACGAGCAAAATAGGAGTTCCGAACACTAAATTATTCCTATACAAGGTGGAATCTATGCCCCTTATTAAAAGGGTTTCAACTTCCTGAAAACGGACACTTAAAAACATTTGGCTGCAAGGGTTTCAAGATATATTTCGCGGTAAATAGGAGGTCGCAGCAACTATGCCGTATTTGACTTCCCTGTGCTCTCATCCAGCCGATTTACCCCAAGGCGGCGCTTCCAGTAACCAAATTCACTTGGTGGAAAGGAAGTTCCGAAATCTAACTACAGACACCAGTCAAAACCTTTCAGAATAAGGCCAATCATGACTAATAACAATTTAGTAGTGAAAGAAATTGAAGAGCAAGCATGGTTTCTACATTCCGGTATTCCCTGATGCGCAAGTTCCACGGCCTGAATTCCCTGGATTTGAGCAGCAGATAAGCAGTCTTTCGATAACGTTAGCCTGGATAGTCGAAACAATCGTAGTAATGAGAGCAAAATGAATACGAAACAATACCATGGAAAATGGACCTTCCCCGATATGCACATCACCCACGTGCTACCATGTGGTTTCCTCCCCACATGGGATATATTCAATCACATGTGTACACATCAGCAAATAAAAACCATGGATTACGAAATCCCCGTCTGACAAAGAATTTAACAAACTAACCATCCTTCCTGTTATAACCCCAACATTAAAACATATTAACCAAAGCAAAACTTTGTTTGTACCTTTCAGAAGCGGCGGACCGGTGAGAGTGACCGAGGAAGATGCGCGTGCCTGTGAGGACGCTTCTGCGCACGCTGTTGCCACGTCTCTCGGTCC